CGGGCGATTAAATTCGCTGGCAATTTTAATCGCCGCGATCGGGCGATAAAAATCGCTCGTGTGCCCCTAGCATAAGACATTTTATCGTTACTCTAGACAATTGCTGTTACTCAAGCAATAACGGTAGGTATCATGAAAGTGGGGAAAACACTAGAAAATTCTCGCGGTACACACTTTAATAATTGCATGTATTTATTTAGATGTGGTTGGTCCGTGTGAATGGAATGAGAATATGTGTTCATTGTTGTGGATGTGGCATTAGTTAGAAGGGGTGTGCTCTACCCTTCCATTGCCTGACTGTTTCGTCCTTTATGTTTGAGCAAAAAAAAATTGAAGTTTGAGAGTTGCTTGCCATACAGATGATGAGAAAAAGATGGTAGAAGAGCAAGTTGCGCAGGCGTTAGATGAGAATGCAGATGAATTGGAGAAAAAGACTAAAGATGAGAACGAGAGTGAGAAAGAGAAACCAGAAGGTAGTTGTAGTATAACAAGTAGTTCAAATTCGTAGACAAGAGTCAACGAGTAGCTCTAGTCGAAAAAATGTGCAGTAAACACATGAAGACTACAGGGGGAAAACGGTCCAAGTCACATTTTGGAGAAATTTGAGATGGTGCTGCCATCTGGTTGAGAAGCAAGTAAGCTTTCATTAAGCTACCTAGTTCTTGATAAAACAATCCATGTCCATTTCTATAGCAGGGAAAAGAATCGGGGATCCCAGTGCAGAACGATCTATGTCCTTTGCGTACAGAACGATCTATGTCCTTTGCGTACAGAACGATCTATGTCCTTTGCGTACAGAACGTTTTAAGTCCAATTAAACTCACCCATGTCCATGCTAGAAAGGGAACGAATTGAGCTAAGCCCAGTCACGTTATCACACCAAAATATGGAAAGCGTTTTGAAACTTATTCCTTGAATTTCTCAAAAAGTTAAAAATGTGACATAGATCATTTTTCCCGTGTAGTCTTCACATATATTATACCATATATTATACGTGAACAAGTGCTTAGCTTGTAAAAGACATTGTAAGAAAAGCCTTGTAAACTGTGAGTTTGTCGATTGTTTTTTTTTATGTACATATTATAGGGTTAGGGTTAGGGTTAGGGCATAGTAAGCTGAAATATTAGTACTTCACTGGTAATTGGTCTATAATTTTTAACTAGTAGAATATCAGTGTGTAGCATCTAAGCAGGTTATCTAGAGAATTTTCCAATATGTGTGATGTATGGTGTAGTTAGTCGTAGTTCTGAACCTTGTTTGACATAAGTGTATTCATATCCATAGATCTTTCTGTGTTTTATTGCTCTTTTTGCTCTACTTTGATGTATTTTGATGCCAACTTCAAAATGTCATAACTTTAAAAAATACAAGTTGTCCAAGGTTCTATATTTTTATGTGGATGTTTAGGCGAAGCTTCGAAGTCGCAAGAAACAACAGAAGACAAGAAGGAGACCGACAATGCAGAGGCAGCAGAGAAGGAAGAGAAGGAAGAGAAGGAAGAGAAGGAAGAGGAGGAGAAGGAGGGGGATGAGGCAGAAGATGAGGATGAGGGAGAGGAGAATGAGGAAGGAGAAAAGAGTCAGGATGATGCAACAAAGAGCCAAGACGAAGAAGGCAACACGAGTCAGAGTGAAGGAGAGGTAAAGATGGTCTCGTACATACACCTTCACATGTCTAAGATAAATAGATCCAATTATAATCTGATAATGATAACAAATTAATTGTCTTCGTACATGAATAATTTCATGGATATCCTGCCAAAGTGACAATTACAAGCAGTGTTGTGAAGTTCAAGGAAAATTTTCGAAATTATTTTCTTGTGCCTATTGTATTCTGACATTGTTTTTCATTTTGTGATATAATGCTGGTATTATCATGTTGTTAAATATCATTGTGTGGGTATATTTCAGGCGTAAACTCTATCCTAATTATTGTGGTTATTGTTATTCATAGTACCTTGTGTAATTGGGGTCGGGGAGTGGGAAGTAGCCTTAGTTGTAATGGAGAACTATTGTCTTGTGAAGAATGCGGACGACGTTTCCAACCTTCAACTGGCGTGGGAGATGCTTGAGCTCTCGCGAACCATATACTCAAAGGCTGAGGACAGCGACTCCAAGATCAAGATGGCTCACTCTTATCACAAGCTTGGGGAACTCGGCTTGGAGCAAGGTAGAGATAGAGAATCTTCCCATGCTATCTACTATATGGTTGTGACGATCGATGTCATATTGTCAGTACAAACTTATTTCATTCTTGAGGGTGCTTGTTGGTTTCGTGCTTGGATAAATGTGTAGCTGGTATTCCCTTGTGCTGCTAGGTGGCTATAGATTGGTGTTGAACACAGTACTTTATCTTTCAGAAACATTTGAACAGAGCATAAGCGACTTTAATGCTTGTCTCGGCATCCAGAAAGAACTCCTGGAAGCCGAAAACAGACTTATCGCAGAAACGTATCCTTTGCCCTCATTAAACTCCCTCGTGCATGGATATTAATAATCAAGCCATTTCATCCATCCAAATATAGGGTAATTGTACAAGGAGGTATCACTAATCTCACGCAATTACACATAATTAATGTAATTGTACTATAAGTACAATGTCTTGTAATCACGCAATGAGTTGAACAGTAAGGTTGCAGTTTCCGGATGACATGAATAGGTCATTTATTCAAGATTACTCAAGGAGATGTAGTGTACTAAAAAATCTTTGTCTTTAAAATATGTACGTAGTTTTTATAACATTGAGGTTTTCATACGACTGCAGCATGAATCCTTAACTGTGCTTCTGTAGATATTATAACATAGGTCTGGCCTACCACTACAGTAAGAAGTACGATGATGCCTGCGAGGCATTCAACAACGCTGTTAAAGTTATTGAAGCTAAGATTGTCAAACTCAATGACATCGTTGAGAATGCAACCGGCAAAGGTAAGTTACGATATCTTCTCTCAGCAAAATTTTTTTTTTTTTTACTTAAGATGCTAAGAACTAGTGTTTTGTTGATTGCGTTTATAGGTAAAGGTTTGTTCTCTTGCTGTGATTGATTGTGACGTGTACAGTGTGGCGAGGGGTGGACCGACTTGAAATTTTGGGGCCAGACCCAAGAGATCGCAAAACAAGGATCTCTTAAGGGGAGGGAGCAAAAATGTAGATTGTGGCTTATAAGCAATGTTTGTGCTGCGCTCTACAGAGGCTGCTGGGGCTGATAACCCGGTGAGTAACGCCAAGAAGGAGCTGGATGAACTTCGAGAACTGCTGCCGGAGGTGAGAGCGAAGATCGAGGACTCGCAGGAGAGCAAGAAGAACGAACAAGTGATGGAAGTTACCGAAGGAAAAACCGAAGGGGTGAGCGAGCGAACGCTAACATTACAACGTCTGACTTGTATCCACTGTTGCTAGAATTTCTAATTTCTAGTCGACGTGTGTGTCGCGTTCAGGATACCACGAACTATATATCTTTTAATGAACAGAACACATTTATTTAACAAGCCACTCAATAACAACCAGTTCACACAGAACCAGATAATGAATAATAAGTCGGTTTCAGTTTTGATTCTAAGAACCCTCCCGGGTGGCTCTAACACTATATTACTCATATGGTATCGAATAGTATCGTGACAGTGTGTATATTGGAAATGTAAATGAACTTGTAACTGTAGTGTGTTTTGTTGTGTAATGTTAGCTAGTGTGTGGATTTGGTGTGCTGTAGGGTTTTGCGAAGGAATCTACATCAGAGCAAGCCAAACCTGTGAGCAACATTGGACACCTCATGCGCAAGAAGGTAAGAATGATTGTGTGGGTTAGGCCGGGTCGGTACTACTGGGTGTGGTTCCTCTTGAATAACTTTTCCAAGTAAAGAAAATCTATGCAGCGTTAGCGATGAACGACTAGTTTTAACTCGTGTCCCCACCACCAGGTTCTTCGAATTCTTGCTTTGTATCAAAAGACTGCTTGGTATAAACTACCACAAAAATTGTCTTTCAATGTTGGTAGTATTTTTTAGTAGGATATAGACACCATGTGGGTTTTTTTCTTTGATTACTCTTCACTATGCCGTTTTACGTGACTGCTAACTAACCACTTTCAGAGAAAACCGGAGGAAGAGGAAGCGGAGAACGAAGCCCAGGCGAAGAAAGCAAAGTCTGCTGAGGATGGATCCGGTGATGCCCCGGTCGCTAACGGCAGCACAAACGGTTCACACAACAATGGAACCGACGCCAGTCCAGTGAGTGTGAACCTTACACAAACAAGTACACACTACACACTGACCCAAGCACCTGTACACACTGACCCAAGTACCTGTACACACTGACCCAAGTACCTGTACACACTGGCCCAAGCACCTGTACACACTGACCCAAGTACCTGTACACACTGACCCAAGCACCTGTACACACTGACCCAAGCACCTGTACACACTGACCCAAGTACCTGTACACACTGACCCAAGCACCTGTACACCAGTACACAAGCACCTGTACACACTGACCCAGCAACCTGTACACAACTGACCCAAGACGCTGTACACACTGCGCCACAGAACCTGTACACGACTGACGCCAAAGCACTGTACTCACTCGACCCAAGATAGCTGTACACACTGACCCAAGCACACTGTACATCACTGACGCCAAGCACCTGTACAGCACTGACGCCAACGTCAGCCTGTAACACACTGACCAACACCTGTACAACTGACACAAGCACCTGTACTTCACTGAACCCAAGTAGCTTACACACTGACCCAAGCACCTGTACTCACTGACCCAAGTACCTGTACACACTGACCCAAGCACCTGTACACACTGACCCAAGTAGCTGTACACACTGACCCAAGCACCTGTACGCACTGACCCAAGTACCTGTACGCACTGACCCGTACAGAAAAAATCGCTCCCGTGCCGCCGGCAGAGTTACGACCCGTTCCTCAACGTAGACAGCTAGGGTATCCAAAACATCTAGAGCTGCATGAACTCCTTCAACGTATGATTTGCCACACGAACAAAAACTCGCGACAGTCTAAGAAATCAATGCGTTTTTATAACCGCATAACAATAAGTTTATATATCACAGGGGTTATTGCGGGTAGTGAGCGCACGACCAGTGACACCTGACACGCACGTAATCAAAGCTGTTTTCTGAATTCGTCACGTAGAAAGTGTACTGTTTTTATTCAGGTAGATATTTAGAAGAAATATAAACTGTATATACTTGAAGATTCTAGGCACTTGTAACTGAGCGGATGTGCGGCAGCATTGATCTAGGCATGGGGGTACTGTGGACTGGGGAAGTGAAAAACGAAAGTAAAACCTTACCCAGAAGCTCCCCCGACATTCCTAGAGATTGAAACATTATTTGACCAACTCTAATTAAGTCACATCAGGAGTTAATGAAGACACTATTTGTCTTCATTAACTCCTTGTTACGCGTATGCTGTTTTAATGCCAATGGTTATCTTTATATACTATTTTGTTACTCACTGCTAGTAAATAAGCTGACCACCAAATCTTTGTGCAGGTCCACTAGATCTTTAGCCGAAATTCGAACCCTGCGGTGCCGGGCTCGACAAACCCACTTGCCTGATGGCGGGGGGAACCAAAATTCGCCCTGGAGCTTGAAATTGCACTTCCCTGTTCGGGCAAGCAAGTTTTTTTTTATTGAATGGCTAGACATAACGAGATTTGAATTAAAAAACAATGCGAATGAGACAATCAGTGCATGCAGTCATACTTTGTACACAACATGCATACAGCAACATGTAAACCCGGCCTCCGTGATTTTGTCACCATTAAGAATAATTTGTGTCCTCGTTGATTTCGTCAAAGCATAATCTTGACTTTTGTTTGGGAAACACCTTTACGATAATTAGACACAATTTCTGGCTTCTGAGACATTATTAGAGTCAGTGCATCAAAATTATGAAAATGAATGCATGATTTTTTTCATACAAAATCAAAAGAGCTCTCATAATAAAAAAATATTTTTTAGGCTGCTGCACACGGACGCACGCACGCATGCACGTGTACGTGCACGTGCACACACACGGACGCACGCACGCTCGTGTAAGTTCACACGCACGCACACACTCATGCACGCACGTGTACGTGCACTCGACTACAACACTGCTGTACGCACTGACCCGAGCACCTGTACACACTACACACTGACCCAAGCACCTGTACACACTGACCCAAGCACCTGTACACACTGACCCAAGTACCTGCACACACTGACCCAAGCACCTGTACACAATGACCCAAGCACCTGTACACAATGACCCAAGCACCTGTACGCACATTGTATTGGGTTCCGTCTATCAACATGAGACTGTCACCTGCGATGCTTTTAATTGTTTGTATTAGTTGTTGAGGTGCATTTGAATGCTCTTTAGTTTTTAAGTTTGGTTTTGTGAAGAGTATCCAGGTTTTTAATATAGCATGGTTCGCACTGTCCATGAAAAGTCCTTGAATTTGAGGGGAGTCCTTGAAAATTACTTGAATTTAGTAATGTTGATTTTGTGCTAGAAAAATGCTTGAATTTTTAGAAAGAATCTTTGCCTGTAATAAAAAGAAATTTTGTACCATCAATAATGTGCAAACCTCAATAAAAATTGCGTTAAATAAGCTTAAAAAGCTATAGACACGATAGACAGTTAAATGATGATCACAAATTACAGTAAGTCAGTAAATCAAGGTATGTTGTAGAAGTGATAGTGTTTAGAAGGGTTTATTAATGTGATCCAGGTAAGTTTTAGAGGTGAAATGCAGTGATTAATGGGGTTATTAAATTAATCCAGGTATATTTTGTTCTGTGTATGAATTCCGATAAAATGTCTGATAAAATGTCCTTGAATTTCCAATAAAATGTCCTTGAAAAGTCCTTGGGGAAAAATTTCAGTCCTGTATGAACCATGTATAGGCATGCTGCCAGATGACCCGAAAATTGCAAAATGGAAAACAAGAATGAGTTAATAGTCTCTCCTTTCTGACGTTACAGGAGAAGATTGTCGCAAAGAAAGTAGAGGAGGTTAAGCCAATGGAGGCAGAAACCAGTGAGCAAGCTGCATAGATGCCACGCTGCATCGCCCGTGCTCTCAGCCACACGACACGTTGGAAGTATTTCTGTTGTACTACGGTACTAGTTGAAAGTAGTTTTATACTATGAAAACCAAACTCCAACGGGTCAATCTTGTGTAGCGGGATGCGGAATTTTTGTACATTCCATGTTGTGACATTTAGAACCGGTATTCAACTTAACGTATCATCGTACAGTGTATTAAATGCATTTTTATTTATTATAGTTTTCAGACGTTGCCCAATTAAGAGAACAAGTCTAGGGGAAGGGAACTTTATTTTTGTCTTGGTGTAAAGTGCTTCCGTAAACATAGACGGCGTATACTTAAATATGATATTTAGGAGTACAAATGGTATTACTGTGAGAAAATTTTTTGATAACGAAACTGATCCGATCATATATTAGTAGCTGTTCTAGTGTGGCTAAGTAAACATCAAAAGGTTTTCATTCTTGTAAATCCTCCGTTCAAAAACTGTATATATAGCATTGTTAGTGGAAAAATGTGCATCTACTCTAACGGGCAAACTTAGCCATCAGTAAGAAATCTGTTGACCACGCATGATTGACAATAATTGTAGAGTATTATGTGGTTGGTTAAGAAATTTCTCCTCATGAATTTACCAGTGAATGTATCATGAACCTGATGTTTCAATTTCGTTATATCAATAAACATCGGATACAAAACCAAAATATTGTGTTATTCAAAAATTATTTGATAGTATTTACAAAGCATGAAAATAGCCATTGCATTAGAAAGCATTTGAAATGCGACAATAAAATGACGTAAATTGGTAAAGTTCTGCAGATTATCATGAATTGCCCATGGTCACAAACAGACAAAGTGAATACATAAAGGTAGCCTACCGTTATCAAATGATTTCAGCCCACTTCATGAGTTGTACAATGAACATGATAACACCCTTTACGTATCTCTAAATAACAAGTGACTATTGTGACATCTGTTTAGTCATTTATGTAAAACGTAGTTGTCATATTGTCTGCATTGACTTAGTGCTTGTTCTCTTCTGATTCCATTAACTTTATCAGCTGCTCTTCTTTTCTTTTGTTATGTTGCATAATTGCTTCTTGAATCTCCTCTGTCTAAAATAGAGATAGCATAAACATATTACATGTGTGAAATGTCTCTTTTAGCATCCTGTACCTTTATGATCTATAGTGCTCCAAACATTTTTAGTTCAGCGTATTAATCATCACGAAGATTACATGCAAGTTTTCACGTTTGCTTTTCTGTATACAAATGCATTTTAAAAAATATGACTGATTGTTCAAGCAACATTAGGGGTGTTACACCGTGTGAGAACATTCAAGGATAAGCATTTCAAACAAAATCTGAAAAGATTCTAAAAAATATTTAGGTATAGTTACATGAAGTTTATTTTCAGGTGGGTATAACTCTCTCTGAAATAATAAAAAGGTAATGTAAATTCATTTTATGGTTTCAACAGTAATTGTGTGTACCACTAGTATCATACAGAAAGAAAAATTAATACTGCTTTAGATAATTAAACTTTAGAGTAGTTATATTATCCTTGAAAAGATAAATCATTGACTGATTTGTAAAAGGTTTAAAATCACTTAATAGACGATATTAATCACAAATAAATTTATCATAGTTACCCTCATTTTTATAGTCCAATCCTCGTAAAACTTTGGTTTATTAAAGTACCAAAATGTTGCAACAGGGAATGACATGTAAACAGCCATCTGAAATACAACATCAGTGTCAAGCTTATTTTAGTCATTATTTATTCATTTATTTAGTGGCAGTGCATTGGTAGAAGATCTATATTTTATGCTGATGATTAATCGAGACCTATTTAGGCTCGACTTTACTCAACACACTATTCTACCGAGTAAAAGGATCATTATGGTGTTGACCTTCATTTCTGATGAGTCAGGTTCGCAGAGGTCGAGCGGACCAGTTATGGCCAGTGAACATAACCAGCCTCATGACCTCATAATCTCATAAATAATAGTCTTTACAAGTCCAAGGGACTATAGCAAAGAAATTTTTAGCAAATTTGGAGCTGCACAAACAGGCTATAATGAAACAATATACTTCATACTTAGATACGATAACGTAGCCATATCAACCAGCTTCACTGCTGGTGTTTGGGAAAACTGTTATTGTACCTACTCAATATAACTCAGTAATCTACTTAGGCTGATAGGGTGTATGTCCCCCAGGGTACTGTCGGAACGTACCCTGGGTACGGTCCGGTATAGCGGAACGTACCCTGGTAACTATCTAGCTGATATGGTTAGGTGTAGGGTTAGGGTTGGCCACAAGTTCCCATCTCGCTTAACACTACGTGGCGAGAGGGTCACAAACCGACGCATTAGAAATATGTTCGGCAGTACGTGCGCTGCTATTTAACGTTAAATTACAGTAAAAACCCGCGTATAAGAACATAGATTTTTCCAAGTTAGCCTCAACATGTTCTTATATAAATGGTGCTCACTGAAAAATTAGGCTCAAAAGGTTCTTAAATAGGTTCTTAATTGTTTCTACTTTTAATATGTACTAGCTGAAACCCGCGCTAGGCGCGGGCTTAGTGACTGTGATGCATGTGTTACCAGTACAGTAGTGTTATGTGTAAGGCGTTATATGGAGAGTTTAGTTGTTGCACATGTTTGTTTTTTTATGGTTGAGATAAATGTACCCCAATTTTTTTTATATAAGAACAATTTTTATTTTTTAGGCTGAATGTGTTCTTATGTATATGCAACTTTTTGACCGCATTTCAGCCTGAGTGTTCTTAATCGACGTGTTCTTTTATGCGAGTTTTTACTGTATATGTAAATAATGCAGTACTGTGTCTCAATAACAATGCCAGCGGTGCTGGCATTGTTATTGTTGAGCATTGGCATTGGCATTGGCATTGGCATTGTTATTGCATCGATATTGTTGAGCTCGTCTTTTTTATTTTACCTGTGTTTCTTTTTTAAGTCTTCATCTGCATGGAAAATTAAGAACCTACTTTAAATTTTAGACCTAAACAGGTTCTTATGTAAAGGGTCTAATGGGAAATTTTAGCCTAACATGTTCTTAAAATCTATGTTCTTATATGCGGGTTTTTACTGTATCTCACTTTTTTATGATTCTTACAGCTTCTCTGTACTTCCACGCCTCGATTTATTATATGTGCGCTATCACTGGCATGTACTTACGTGTCAGCGAGTAATTGTTTATAAATTGATAAAATAAAACTCAAAAAAGCCCGCCATTTCCCATAGATATTCCAATAATATGTAGCGAAAGTTCGTGAATTTTCGCGTACAAGAAGAGACATAAGAACATCCATATATGGCGTTTCAACAACGTTCAAATAGAATAGCTGTTCGAAATTCTCTTAATTTTTTAACGTGTATTTCGAGGTAAATACTAAAATAGAAATGAAGAAGTGTAGGCTAGCGATAGTTGCACATGTAACAGTGAGCGATCAAATGTCACTAATTACATTGTTTTATTTACGAAATTTTTACGAAATTTTACGAAATTCAGAGTTTGTTTTCAAGCTATCAGGCATTTCGTATGGAAGGGTGTCAGGCTCCTCCGCCGTCGTAACAGTCGGAGAGCCTGTCGGTTAGGGTTAGGAGATAGGCATAGGCGGCTCCCTAGACTCTGTTAGTGAGGTAGGCGAGGTACAGTCCGGCATATTCCCTGGGGGACATAGACCCTATCAGCTCTACTTTAGTCTTTAGACCGAATAATTGCTGTCGCCATATAACCTTTTTTTATATTTGGGTGAGGGTTATAGTTGGACAGAACGGGGTCATTGAAATTTGTGAGATCGCATGCCAAAAGCATGCGCTGCTAATGCAAGCCGCTAGTGCGGCGGCGAAAAAAAAAAAATCGGTTCCCTTCTATATGGCTTTTATCTTGCTACTAATATGTGTATACATTTCACTTCAATCCGTTATTTACTTCTTAAAAAGATTTGTTTTCAGAAACCCCGCTTCATTAACTTTAGTAAATTACGTTGGCCATTTACAAACATCAGAAAAATCACAGCGGTCTTACAATAGCCCTGGTTCTCGCTTGTATCTGTGGCGCTGCAGGAGGCCTGATAGACTCGCTGTGATGTGGTCTGATTGTTTGTAAATGGCCAACGTAATTTACTAAAGTTAATGAAGCGCGGGGTTTCTGAAAAACAATCTTTTAAAGTAAATAACGATGAAGTGAATGTATACACATATCAGTAGCTAAGTAAAGCCATGTAGAAGGGAAATGGTAGGTTTTTTCCGGCACCAATAGCGCCGTACGGGCCGGCATTAGCAGCGCATGCATTTTCCATGCGATCTCACGAAATTTCAATGAAACCCCGTTCTGTCCCCAATATAACCCTCACACAAAATATAAACAAGTGCCGCAGACGACAGCGGCTCATCTAACCGTCTACTGCGTGACTCTGTGGTGGAAGTGGTGGGATTCTAGTAAACCCTGCAAGTCCCAAATGTGTTCAACATACACGGCCGAAACAGTGGAATGCACAGGGATGGTAACAGGGAACCTTCTCAAAAGAACTGTTCGTTGGGATCGTTTATGAAGTTGCCATGAGATGGCGGCGTACGTTTAATGTCCTTCAGATTAAAGACTGGCAAGCTCCCATCATACGTAGTAGCAACAACTATTTTGCAAGACAGAATAGGTAAGCACTCATCCATTTACCTGCTACGCAAGCCTACAGGCTGCAAAATTGCAATAGAGAGCTGCCACCTGTAACCATTAGGGCAGGCAAAACCTGCACCAACACATGCACTGGCAGCAGCACTGGCAGTGGCATACGTTACATGTAACATACTGACAGTACGAATGACATAGAAATTATACGATTTAAGGAACATACACCTTCTTTGAAGCAAAATTTAGCTTTTGAAAATTTCCGACTGTGACATTGTAGCCTCATACATCACAGGCATGTATCGATTCTAACTAGCAAACCCGGCAGTCCAAATTCTTTCTACAGAACAGTCAACATAAATCCAAGTTTAAACCTCCTCCTTGAGGGTCAAAGGTTTATTCTCGCACACATATCTTCGCATGTCAGCAGAAGGGACATTTATGGTCCTTTCAATAAAGCCATAAAATGGCTAGGTCACCTGCCTGAAAACAAAAAAAGTTTTTCAATCGCCCTCAGTCAGGACCATGTCTCAGAAAATGTCTAAGATTTCTGCCCTGCTGCCCACTGGACCTTTTGACCTTGTGACCTCCAATTTCGGACAGTGGAATGCTTTTCCTACCATGATGACTTAGTAACACCGACGATAAATCACGGAGCTAGGTCGATGCCTTGTTTAGATTGGTGCCGGCAATTCTGCATTTTCACTATCCCTATACCTTAAGTTAAGAGTGAATGTTCCCCCTTTCTTTACAGCCGACCTCTTGACCTATGACCTTTGACCCGACTCGTCGACATCCAACTCGTTTTCGCATTACCCCCCCCCCACGATCCCGAATATCGTGACCGTTACGTCGACGCGCGGTTTAAGATTTGTGCCCAACTGTTTGACGACGCGCACGACGCAGCGCATCGGACGGCGCGATTCGGGGTGACGGACGGACGCAACGACGATCATAGCCGGATTCTGATCAAAGCTGGCATTCTGACTCATGTCAAGAATGAGCTAAAAAAGGTTAAATAATGGGACGAATTAATTCGGTCTACTTAGTCACGGGCACTCCTGGACCGGTTTCAATAATAAAATGATGGTTAATTCATAATACCAATTGTCAGCCTAGCCCTATTACTACAGTAGCCAGCAATAGTTCCTAATTGTTTGATTTGACGCTAATAACTTCACTTCCAAACACCGTTCAATACACCTATGCAACTACATAGCCCGCACTGCCATTGTGCATGCACAAATACACAGTAGGTTAGAGTAGTATTACCTAAACCTACTGTGTATTGCTGCAATGCACAATTGCGTGCGTGCTATGTGTTGCATTAGGTGTTTTGAACGGTGTTGAAGTGAGTTATTAGTCAAATCAAACATTAAGAACTATATGCGTAGGCTGTAGTAGTAGGCTACTGACAAGTTGTATTTATTAACCATCATTTTATTATTGAAACGGTCCAAGTGCCTGTGTACTTAGTCTTACGACTCTAGAGTCTAGACTAGACATTGACAAGACAGTAGTCGACTTGCCAACCTTGAAAATCTCGAGCTTCCATCCACCCATTGCCTTTTACGAACGAGTAACTATAAAATTATCTCAATTAATTCAGACTACTAATACGAATAACGATATTAGCAGAAAGCTTGGTGTTAGCTAAACATAAACTAAACTCAGTTAAAACTTGATAAACTTTGTAAACTAGTGTTGTGCTCTTGCGCATGTTGCGCATGTCGCTTACATCCCCAATATTTTATCCAAACGTGACCATTATTTATTATCTTACACAAACCACTCAGGTAAAAGTAACTAGTAATATTTGTAAAATTATTTTTATTAAAAATATGCTGCTAGCTGTTAGTTTTTCTATATGAACATAGATATGAGTTATCAATAAAATTTTTTTTTACGTCCAACAGTTCAATTAAGCGACCATGACAATGATCAACGTTTGATGGCGTCGAGAGTTGTTGGTGCGGCTGTTCGGGCTGTAAAGTCAACGAAAAGGCCTCTAATACCACGAAAGGCAGCATTGTCCTTGGTGAGTAGTTATATTACTATTATTATCAGACTATTATGTGTTTTGACTATGTATTAACTTTAATTGGTATCTACTGCTAACGTAAACATAGGACTCACCTGGGTCAACCAATGGCGCAACGTAAAATAGGGCCCTACGCAACGTAAAATGAAATGTAGATTACTGAATTTAGACCCCCTTCATTGGCTGTAGACTCTGACTAGCATGCTAGATACATTTACATACACGACTGGTCATTAGCGTGGTCTGGAGCTAAGAAGAGTCATACGAGGTACTTTACCAGCAATAGCCAATACTGGCAATAGTGAACTCGCAAATTGAGTTCTCTTTAAAAAAAAAATTTCAATTCAATTCAATTCAAAAATGTTTATTCACGCATTACAAGATACATACATAATATAACTGGTTATATTAGTTTAGAATTGCGTAGGAGGGCGAGTTGACTGTGAAGTTAGTAAATTTTTCTTAGTAAATTATTTGTGCGTGGGGCCGTTTTGAAACAACACTGTCAAAAAGTGTAAAAATCTATGTTCTTATACGCGGGTTTTTACTGTATCTCACTTTTTATGATTCTTACAGCTTCTCTGTACTTCCACGCCTCGATTTATTATATGTGCGCTATCACTGAGCATGTACTTACGTGTCAGCGAGTAATTGTTTATAAATTGATAAAATAAAACTCAAAAAACGCCGCCATTTCCCCATAGATATTCCATAATATGTAGCGAAAGTTCGTGAATTTTCGCGTACAAGAAGAGACATAAGAACATCCATAATGGCGTTTCACAACGTTCAAATAGAATAGCTGTTCGAAATTCTCTAATTTTAACGTGTATTTCGAGGTAAATACTAAATAGAAATGAAGAAGTGTAGGCCTAGCGATAGTTGCAACATGTAACAGGTGAGGTCAAATGTCACTAATACATTGTTTTATTTACGAAATTTTACGAAATTTTACGAAATTCAGAGTTTGTTTTCAAGCTATCAGGCATTTCGTATGGAAGGGTGTCAGGCTCCTCCGCCGTGTAACAGTCGGAGAGCCTGGTCGGTTTAGGGTTAGGGAGTAGGCATAGGCGGCTCCCTAGACTCGTTAGTAGAGTAGGCGAGGTACAGTCCGGCATATTCCCTGGGGGACATAGACCCTATCAGCTCTACTTAGTCTTTAGACCGAATAATTCTGTCCCATATAACCTTTTTTATATTTTGGTGAGGGTTATATTGGGACAGAACGGGGTTCATTGAAATTTTGTGAGATCGCATGCAAAATGCATGCGCTGCTAATGCAAGCCGCTAGTGGCGCGGAAAAAAAAAATCGGTTCCCTTCTATATGGCTTTATCTTGCTACTAATATGTGTATACATTTCACTTCAATCGTTATTTACTTCTTAAAAGATTGTTTTTCAGAAACCCCGCTTCATTAACTTTAGTAAATTACGTTGGCCATTTACAAACAATCAGACAAATCACAGCGGGTCTTACAATAGCCCCTGGTTCTCGCTTGTATCTGTGGCGCTGCAGGAGGCCTGATAGACTCGCTGTGATTGGTCTGATTGTTTGTAAATGGCCAACGTAATTTACTAAAGTTAATGAAGCGGGGTTTCTGAAAAACAATCTTTTAAGAAGTAAATAACGATTGAAGTGAATGTATAGCACATATCAGTAGCTAAGTAAGCATGTAGAAGGGAAAATGGTAGGTTTTTATTTCCCGCACCAATAGCGGCGTGACGGTGCCAGCATTAAGCAGCGGCATGCATTGTTCCATGCGATCTCACGAAATTTTCAATGAACGCCCGTTCTGTCGCCCATAATAACCCTCCACCAAAATATAAACAAGTGCCGCAGAGCGACAGCGGCGTCATCTAAACGTCTTACTGCGTGTGACTCTGTGGTGGAAGTGGTGGGATTCTAGATAAACCCTGCTAGTCCCCCCAAAATGTGTTCAACATAGCACGACGCCGAAACAGTGGAATGCACAGGGATGGTAATCAGCGAACCTTCTCAAAAGGTGATTACGTGTGGGTAGGTTAATCTGCATGCAGATGGCGGCGTAGTTATCCGGGTTTGTGGATCCTTCACCCGTAGATAGCAACACTACTTTGCAAGACAGAATATGGTTAACACTCATCCATTTACCTGGCTAACGCAAGCCTACACAGGCTCCGCCAAATTGCAATACGAGAGCTGCCACTGTACCATTAAGCGCGCACAAACTGCCTCCAAACACATGCACTGGCAGCAGCCACTGGCAGTGGCATACGTTACATGTAACATACTGAACAGTACAGAATGAACATAGAAATTATACGATTCTTAAGGACAACATACACCTTCTTTAACGCAAGATTTAGCTTTGAAAATTTCACTGTGACTTCGTACCTCATACATCCAGGCATGTAATACGATTCA